AATACTAAACCTATTTGCACGTGATGAAATAGCAAACAGTTAGCGCAAGGTGCTAAAGTATTTCACCTTGCAAACATAATAAAGCCACTATTTTTTTCTTTATTTACCTTTCTGAGTAATTGTAAGAGTGTTTCAATTAGTTCCATTTATTATTCATTTATTTTATATGCATTTTCCTGAAATGAAAACTTTAGCAATAGAGAATTTGTAGGAGTTAGAAAGCAATAAAGTAAAATGAAACTTCAATTTCTCATGTGAAACTTTGAATTCGAAGAATTATAACCTAAAGTGTATAATAATTTATGATATTTATTATATAATCTTCAATAAAATCAAATTTACAAACTTTTTTAGATGCAATAAATTTATTTTTAAAATTACAAAATCTTGTTAAATGTATAATTTACATGTATATAATTAATAATAGTTTATAAACTCCAATTCTAATCTTTATTTATTTTATTTTTTGTTATTTATTGAGTAATATAAAATAACAACTAAATAATATCAAAAAGTATATACAATAAATAAAATAATACAGCTATACCTATATACACCATTTAAAATCATTCAAGGGAACTCTGAGGCAGGCTTGTTCAATCAACTATAGAGAGAAAAGCAGGAATCCAGGAGATCCCTTTCTTGAATGGAGTATCTGTTCATTACCAGAACCAATATATACATAATACAAAAGGTATCGGGGCCACTACCTTTTTTAATCTTTAGTTTATTTTAAATAATTTATTTTCGGAGGTAGGTATGTTTTAATTTTAATGGGCAGAATTTCACTTGAAAACATATACTCAAAATGAAGCCGTGAGATTGCCGTTACTTTTCATATACCTCAGAAAAAATATTATAATATATTATTAATATCAATAACCTATTTAAATGATCCCATTTACTTCAATTCAATCTCCAAACAAATTATTTCTAATCCTTTTCAATTTTATGTTTAACTTCGTGTAAGTTTAACTTGTCTTATTCTTTAAATAATATTGTTTTGTATTTTGCAAATTATTAAGGTTTTGAATTATAACGAATAAAAACTAATTAATGTATAAAATTAATTAATATTTTTTAAACAATAATGAAATCATATGGGTAATAAAAAGAAGTCAATCACGGAACTTCTATTAGGTAATTTAAAATTTTTTTTTTTATTTATTCATGATATTTACAACTGTATTAAAAAATTAAATACATTAAGTAAATTTGATTACAGAAAGTAAAAACATGAAATGACTTGTTGAGAAACTACCCACTGGTAGCACTCTAAAAACAAAATGTATTTACAATAAGAGATCTCGAGGCCATCTTCTTTTCAGACGCCTCGGAGGGTTATCAGGAATAGAAGAGGAAGCAAAGAAACGAGAGGGTTGGGATGATTCTGAAGTTTATTATGGAAGGATAGGTATCTGGATTGGGCCAAATCGGAAACATAAGGAACATTAAGTTCATTATGGATTATTTTATTGGTGACAAAGTAAGGAGCATTGAGGATTTTCCGAAGGATTTTGGATTGTAAGGATTGGATACGAGAGGAATTCGATGGCTTAGTGGAGCCCCAAAGCTCAACTCCGTAAGTCCAAATAGGTCTTATTATAGTCAAGTATATGAGTCTTTTGTAATTAATGGGATGTTTAGAGCGTTTGTCTAGTAAATGCTGAAGTAATCGGAAACGTCGAGCGGTTTCTTGTCGTTTCAGTCTAGTATGAGGATTCCAAGTTAGTCGTTTATCCAGGTGGAGTCCTAGGTATCGGATTTGCTCAACAGGGATAAGTGGAGTATTGTTAAAGGAAACTGTAGGACAGGAAGTCGTTGGTTTACGACGAATGTAATTTTAATTGTCGATATTTTTCAGTTCTTTTAGAACAACTTTTCAAGTAAATGTTTACCAGAATTATTATTTTTGAAAACTCTTATTTAAAAGTTCTGTCGATTTCGCTAAAAAGCGGATCAAAAAAAATTTACTTTAATTCATAACTACCAAACAAATGACACATTAGAATCATGTGTAATTCATTTAAGACAAATTATAACTCTAACCTAAGCCTAATCACTGTTTACATTTTACTTAACGGAACTTATTTTAAGAACTTGAAATAAATAAATACAAGTTAAACTTTCCCCCATTAACCTGGAAGTTTAATATAAAAAATCTCTTTAGAACTTTTATTTTTAAAACATTCTTCCAAGAAAAGTTTCACAAAAAACAGTTAAAATGGAACTTCTTAATAAAAAGTTTCATAAACGTTTCAACCCCTGTATACAATAGCAAAAATACCAGATATTCAATTTAAATATACTCCAGATAAGAAAACATTTTTTCCAGACTTCCAGATACCTTGAATAAACGTCAATTTTTATTAATGTATCAATATATATTCTATTCAGGGCCGAACTATGATTTTCAAGCTAAATTTTTCCGCCTTTCGCTCAATAAATGTCAATAGTTTTATAAAAGTATTTTAGGTAATATTTCGAAATTATTATGATACCATGACTAAATAAAGATCAAATAAAAAACCTTTACTCTAGATTTTTAACTCTAGATACCAAGTCGGTTCAGAAAAAAAAAATATATTTGGCAAATAGTTATACATAAGAAGAAATTGGGTAAAGCAACGTAGCTCTGTGTGGATAAATATTATTGTAATGACATACAAAGTTCATAACCGCTTTTCTCACCTTAAATACGAATTTGTATATCAATTGTAAAATTAATTTTTGCGCCAAATTTTCGTCTAAGTTAGATCTATTTTTCGGAATTTTGTCGACAACCACAATAATTTTGATAACTATAGGACGACTCCACCGATTCTCGCAAAAATTATTAGGAATTTAGGGTTCTATAGGCTACACCAGACAACAAAAACCCAATCTCCGTAAACAAATTAGAACCTAAAAAATAAAATAAAAACCTTTGAGAAGTTTTTCTTGATTTCTAGCTTTAAAAGAAATAAAATATAAAAATTATTTATGGAGTATGGAAGAGTAGAAATTCAGGTTTCCAACAGTTGCACTGTCGATGAATGTGGAGAATATCCTGAGGAGTTATGAATGATTTAGTAAACTCCTCCAAGAAAATCAAGTAATGAAAGTAATTTTCGATTTTTAATTAAAAATGCAAATTTAAGAATTTTAAAGTAAACTTAAAAGAAATTTACACCAAAATTTACGTGGCTTACTTCACTGGAAGCTCCTTTTGGTTTTTTGTAACTTATGATAAATTATATATAACAGCATAGTCAATATCTTTTTCACATTCTGCAGGAAATTGATTGATATATAATAACCTAGAAATTCTGGCAAAAATGAGACATAAACAAATAGCATAAATTCCGTTTTAAATTATTTGAACTATTTGTTTTATCGGATCTATGGCAACTTGGAACGTCCCCACCATCCTCCTGTCCCTGCCTCTTTACTCCAACTTGACCATTATCAATTGAAAATTATTTGTGAAGAAATGTCCATTGATAAACTCTCATTTAATTCATAACTAGTGTATATAAGTATGTTGATTTTTTTTTTTTTAATTTAGTCACTTTAAGTTATCTTATTTTTATTTATTGTATACATTTTTTTATTATTATTTAGTTGTTATTTTTCTTCTGTTCCTTTTATTTGTTCTTCTGTGTGGTCTTACCTCACTATAATTATTGTCTATGTGACAGGATATTATATTCCCTAATATTTTTTTATTTATTTTTTTTTTTTAACACAAATATAACTTTATGAAGATGACACAGAATGAATACATTAGGTATAACACAATCGTTAGGTTAAAACTTAATAACATATGACAGCTCTCCCAACAAAATTAAAATCAGTTCTAATTAAGAAAAGTAGGAGGAACTAAATAAACTGAAATAGAAAAAATTAACTTGTTCTTAATTTACATATTGTCTATTAAAAGTGGAAAGCACATTACACCTAGTTTTTTTTTTAGAGCTTTTTTATTGAGAAATATTCCCTGATAAATAAATTTTAAAAAATCATAGCATGCTGGAAAAATTAAACAAAATATAAATATCGTCATTTTATTGCAAGAAGTCATTAGGTGACAATTTATGAACTTAAATCACAAGATATTTTGATGAATATTCCCTTTGAGAAATCAGAACGTGATGGGCCCAATGTAACTATTTTCAATACACTTTTATGCTCACTTCCGCCAACACTTCCTATCTCATTCTATTAACATGACCAGGGCGAATTATTTGGAATTATTCAAAGCTGACAATGAAGTCTTCCCCAAGAACCTGTTTTATTACACGAGTCAATGTTGCAGATTGAGGTCCTCTATATTCAATGAATAACAACATTACATATATTTTTCCAAAACTTTGAAGTTTATTTACTTTGTTCTGCTAGTGGTATTTATTATTCATGCATGAAACATATTTATATGCATATCGTGTTTTGTTGTATCATTTGCTATTTACTATTGACATGTTCATATATTATATATTGTATACTATGCCTGTATTTATCTTTATTACTAGTGCTATTTATTACTATTTGTCATTTTATTGCTTGCTATATTTAGATGTATTGTTTCGAGTTATTGTACTATGTGGGGTATTATATTATATTTCATTGCTTTTATTTAGGCATATAGTCAGATGCTTGGTTGTTATCAGGAGAGGATGTTGTTAAATTCTAATGAATTTTACTTTGTATAAAAGTTGTAAATGTTTTTCATATTAATTTGTACATTGTAACCATTATAGGCAATCCTATTTGTATAGGGCGTTCCCCGAAAATAAATAAATAAATTTTTTTAAAAAACAACTATTTTTAATGTATAATAGGAATGTGCCATTTTGATCTTCACGCTCTCGGTGTTTAGCAACAATAAAATAGGTTCATTGAGGTCCGAAATTCATCACAAGTTTTTTAAAAGTATATTTAAATTATAAATGCACTTAGTGACTTTTTTTTAAATAAGCCGATGATACATGCAAATATACGCTTATATTTATTGCACTTACTCTTAAGTTCTTGCGCATCAGGAGAACATTTTCCTCTGTCCATGAGACAATCGATATACTTCTTGAGAATCCTGTCGTTCTTCAGGATCTGATCGATGTCGATTGTGTCCCATCTGGTTGTGTATGATGGCGCCGTAGCGGCCTGGCAGGACCAGGCCAACAAGAGAGGAGCAAGAAGCAGTAATGTCCTCAGCATCTCTCATAAGACTGGCGAGCTCAGGGTCCCGCTTCCCTCAAGGACAACAAAATAAAACTACTTTCTTCTCCATGTGTTTCGAAAAATCGATTCTACTTAACAAATATTTAAAAATGGACATTTATAAAATAATAAATGTAGCACTGGCGGATGAGGCTCCCTTCTCCCATTGAATTGAAGAATAATTGTTATTCGTTAGTCCATATTTGTTTCTGTCCGTGATCTGAGCTAAATACTTAAATAATCATAATATGCTCTCGTTTTATAATATAACGCACGTATTTCATCTATACAACGTAAGCACATGTCAAGAAAATAATATACCAATAAAAGCATTATTGCTCTTGTTAACATAGATTTTATTTATTTTTTCACAGGCCTTCAGGGCCAACTTAAAAACTGTTATATATATTTTTTTTCTTTTAGACTGTTTAATGTTATTAAAAAAAATATAATAAAATAAAAAATAACTAAGGTCCTAAAATTAAATACCGATACAATAATAATAATAATATAAAAATTTGGCTCACTACTTAGTGAATTTCATCATCTTATACACAGTGGATTGTCCCAGGCATCACACCGGTGAAATTACGAAAAGAAGAATCAGTCGAAGAAAAAAATACAAATAATATAAGTAAAACTGACGTTGATAATCGAGAGCCACTTTCAATAATAAAGGCTACTTTGGCAGTGGTCTAATTGCCAGAGAAAACAACAAATAAATTTGACACCTTTAAGTTAAGATTTTTTCCCTAAAATATGGAATTAACACTGAGAAATAAATCTTAAAATGTTTGAGCTGAATTCATAAAAAGTTGTGGTTGAGTCATAAGTAATATTTTTGCAATTGCGTGAAAATTAGGTATGCAAATTTTAAAAATCTTTAAGTTTACCGGAACATCTGAAAACATCACAATATATATAACTTACGAACGTCCAAAAGATAAATAATAAAAAGAAAAAAAAAATTCGAAAGAAAACACTTTGCTGCTCAAAAAAACACACTTTTTATTATCTAATAATCATTATAACCTACCAGAATATATAATGTTTTAATTACCTATATAATTTAATTGATGTATTTAATTATCTAAATAGGTTTGAACACAATTTAACTTTACCACTAACTATAACTCTACCCCTCCCCCTGCCAGTTTATGAACATCCTTCATAAACTGACGCAGGTTAAAACATATCAATAATCAATACAAAATAAAGAACAGAAAAGTTTACTACAAACACAAAAAGTCTTGACATCTTAGTTCCTATAATAAAATGTATAATACTAAAAAAGAATTAAACTTGATATCTCGTTCCAGAAAACAAACAATAAAATCATTTGGTATCTTAATGTTCTATATACCTGCTTAACACTCTTCTACATTACTCTTCGGAATCAGAAAAAAAGACATACCACACTTTACTCCTGTAATTTTGACTCTGTCATTGCTAATTCCAACTGTTCAACATAAACAGTCCTCCTTTTTCTCGGGTCATTTAAACTTTGAATTGTGAGAATATTGTGTTCTCGAAATACGATCACCTTGAATGGGCCCTCATAATGCAATAACTCTTTCCCTCCTATTCTCCTATTGTATACTATCGTCCCTATTTTGATTTTTCCTATCCTATCCTCGATTTCCACGTTCACCTTTTTCGTTTCTCCCTCTCTATCTTCTACTTTATTTTCCCCCATACTTTTATCATTTCCATCCTGGTATTGATTATCGTATTTGTGCGTGCACAGACTTCCCATGCTCCTATGATTTCTGCAATAGTGGCCCCTGGCTGTGACCAAATAGTGGTGATCTTGTTTTTCCACATTGGTTGTAATCTATCTTCATCATTCCCGAAATTTTCGTCTTACAAATTACCTGGAGTCGTTTGTCATTGACGAAATCTTCGAGTTCCTCTATGTCATTCGATCAAGCTCTTCTCTTCTCGGGATTCTTCTCTTTCCTCCGTCTCTGCGTTCTCACGTTTCCCTTCTCTTTCTGGCGTCCATGTTCTCATTGAGTTTTCTGAAATCCACTACTACCCTATATTTCTCATCTCCTTCTGCAGACTTTTTTCTTACAATATGCCCATAAGGGACTATTGTATGGTGAAGTACTGTCCACAATGATACCCTGATTTTTCAAGCTTTCTAGCTCTTCCCTGATATGCCGCCGCAAAGCCTGTGGATAACGTCATTCTTTCACGTATGTCTCTTGTTTTAACGGGACTTCATGTACAGTTCTCCCAGTTCCGCTCAACACCTCTGCGACTTAAAAAAAAAAATATCTGCGTATTCCATTTTTATCTTCTCTGCCCAGTGTCCCATCTGTCCGATTGCTCCTATATTAACTTTTTCTTCTACTATAAGTTTCTTACATATATACCTCTGCTCTCCAATTCGGATGATCCAACGCCTGCTCTTACTGTATATCCGTGTTCCCACTTATCCTAACAAGTCGCAACCTATTATGCTCCTGTAATCCCTTGGCATATTTTTCACTTTGTGGACCTGCAATATCCCGCTTAGTGTTACCCAAATGCGAGACCGAGACGAGTCTTGGTCATGGTCTTGGTCTTGTGCAAGAGTCTCGCAATAGTCTTGCAGTTACTTATTAGCTTATTGCTATAGAGATATTACTGTAATTTTTAAGATAGAAGAAACCTAGCTATAGTCCGAATGAAAAATTAGAGGAGTTAAATTCAAAAGTATATTGGTCATACCAATTATTAACATATAGTAACTAAAATTGTTGAGTATAAGTAAGTATTTTACCTTAATTTTTATTAAAAAACTATTTTTTTTGTACCCGTCCTGGTCTTGGTCTTGCAACAGTTAGGCGGCCTTGGTCTTGGTCTTGCAAAGTGCGAGACTAAGACCGATTTTGGGCAACACTAATCCCGCTAACATTCATCCATTTATCCAAATTTAATTCCGCTTCTCCTTCAACACTACAAGGCCCACCAAAAGTGATCAATTTGCACTTACATTCCTGTATTCCTGGTAACCTCTCTCCTTTGCACAACTCCTCTACCTGTGGCTACCAAAAACTTCACTCTATTCGCGCCCCTTATAATTGCTCCTCTCTCACTCTCTTCATTATTCATTTCTTCCTCTCCGCAACTATCCCTCTTTCTGTCCCACTCCTGCTGCTTCTGTCTCCTAGAGCTTCTCCTCGCGTACGGTCCTATCTTAGTTCGGTTCCATCTTCTTCCGTTCCGGACGTCTCTGATGATTCTCCTGACTCAGATTCTGCTCCGCTCCTTTTCCACAATCTTTATACGATCTTTATACACAATCTTTATAATCTTTATATAACAATCTTTATTGGTTCAACGCGACCTGCTTGTCCTCGCCTACTCATATAGGGACATTGCCTTGCGATGTTCCCCTCATTTCCACACTCAAAACATCTGGTCCGCGGACAATTTGCTACCTGATGTCCAACTTTCCCACATCCATGGCATCTCCTGTCGTCCAATTCCTCCTCCATATACCCGGCCTTTTCTCTCTCATTGCCGTCCTTTCATTTCTACTAAACTCTCCTCCTCCTCTTCTCCATATTTTCGGCCTAGCTCTGGCCCTGCCCTACCAGTTTCAGTTCTTCATTACATCATCTTATTCCATCCGTTCTCAGACGCTCCTTTTTCTCAAATCTACGCCCCGAGCTTCCTCATCGAGCACTAGCATCTATCATCTGTCATAGCTTAAATTTTTTAAGCTCTCTGAATTTTTTCGATTTGTCAAGGGGATATACTTAATTTACTTATTCTAGAATTAAAGTTCCTTCCCAAATAAATCAGAATGTTGTTATGTTCTCCTCTGATCTGGAAATAAAATAGCGTACCTCTTCTATCCGTCCTGATGATTAATTTTCCTGCACTCTAGTTTTGATCTGAATATTCGCTTTCTCGAAATCGAAATTGATCGAGTTTTTCGCTCAGTTTTTTTTCTTTTGGTTACCTGAACTGGTGAAGACGCTGGTGATCATCTACTGTCTTCCAGTGTTTCCAGTAGACTTCCGATCTCAGAGATGTGAAAAGTGTTCTCTTTCATTGTGAATATCTTGTTTTTATGAGTCACAGTACTGTCGAAGGTTCGCAATCTGTTAAGATATAAATATATTTCATTTATCTCCTCTCTTTCCTCGGGTGATATGTCATGTGCTATAGGAATCTTTTTTTCTCTAAATAAGTCTCTCTATTTCATTACTGTCTGTTTCATTATATAACTGTTAAGAGAAATTAAGATAGGCCTAGGTTTTTTAAATCTACAATATCTATATGTCCAGTTTCTAAAAGTTATGTACTTTACATATTTGCCTTGTTCAATTCTATATAAACATACTCCATAGAAATCAGTCATATTATATTTTTCATCTTAATTGGATAACATGCGACTAATATAAGTGACCTTTGTGTTTGTTTAATGGAACAGGTAGTAATTAATCGAACGATCCAGGAATGACGTGATATCTTCTCTGATTATGTTCGAAATAAATTTAACGTTACAGACGTTTTTAATAAATGTCTGAGGAAACTTGAGAAGATCCACCATAACAGCATCATTCTAAGGAGCAGCTGTAACGATGGCAGAGAGTGGAACATATTAAGAGATTTTCCATTATATTCCAATTTATAACTGATTAGTAATATATTACTTAGTTTAATATATAATTAATAATTGTTAACCTCAGAAATAAACTATTCGTAACTTTTTTTTGGCATTTTCATGATTTGTCTTTGGTTTCCGGAGTAATATATGTTTGGTTAGGTTTTAGTTTTTGTAACTTGATTGATTAACTAAGTCAATTGTATAAATTTATTTATTTATTTTTGTTAATAAATTCTGATTTTTCAGTTTGTGATATAGAATATCTTATGGATACAGACACATTCCCGGAACTAAATTTCCTTTTTCCGAGTAGAAATAATTTCATCCAAAAAAAAAATTAATTCATTTTTTTTTCAGTATTGACTTTTGTACCGCTAGATTGTTTAAGCAGCCCACTGTAAGTCGGTGCGTTAGTAAGCG